CTCCATTTGTTCAAGTGATTCCGTTCCATTCCTTCCCCTCCGACAGATTGCCCACCTCTGTCATTCCCATTCTTTCACTTATTTTCAATCTCTCCCTGTGTATTGGTTCATTTCCTACTGCCTAAAAACTTGCCTAATGTCTCCCCCATCCTGAAAAAACCCTCACTTGATCCTTCCATCCCTACTAACTATCATCCTAAAATTCTTCAGCCCTTCATAGCCAAACTCCTTGAAAAGGCTGTCTACAATAGGTGCCTCCATTATCTCTCCTGTCCTTGTCTTCTTACAGTCTGGCTCCCCACATTATCATTTCACTGAAACTGCTCTCTCCAAAGTCACTTATGATCTCATAGTTGCCAAATCCAGTGGCCTTTTCTCAATCCTCATTCTGCTTGATCTCTCTGCAGCCTTAGACACTGTTGATCACTCTTTCCTCTTTGATACTCTCTTTTCTATGGGTTTTCAGTATACCACTCTTTCCTGGATTTCCTTCTACCTATCTGATCTCTCCTCAGTCTCCTTTGCTGGATTCTCACCCCGATTGTGCCCCCTAACCAAAGGTGTCCCTCAGGGTTCTGTCCTGGGTCCTTTTCTCTTCTCCCTCTATACTACTTCACTTGGTGAACTCATAAGCTCCCATGGATTTAATTACCATGCTATGATTCTCAAATCTAACTTTCCTCACTGAGTCTCTCTGCTGACCTCCAGTTTCACATATCCAATTGCTTTTCAGACATTGAACTGGATATCCAGTAGACATTTTAAAATCAAATAGATGTCCAAAGTAGAATTTACTATCTTTCCCCCTAGACTCCTCTCCCTCCACCTTCCCTATTACTGTAGAGGGCAACACCATCCTTCCAGTTCCTCATGCTCACAATCTAGGAGTCAGCCTGGATCTTCACTGTCTCTCACCCCCTATATCCAAGTTGTCAAGACCTGTCGATTCCACCTTTTCAATATTTCTCAAATAGGCCTCCTCTTCTCCTCTGACACTGCTACCACTCTAGTGTAGACCCTCATTCCCTCACACCTTGATTACTGCAATAGCCTGCTAGTGGAACTGCCTGCCTCAAGTCTCTCCCCACAGCAGTACATTCTCCATGAAGCCACTAAAGTGATTTTCCTAAAGCTCAGGTCCAATCAAGTCACCTTCCCCATTCCCCAACCTCACCTCAACTCAGTAACTCCCTATTGCCTCCAGGAACAAATACAAAACGCTCTGTTTGGCAAAGCCCTTCACAGCCTAACTGCCTTTCCAGTCTTCTTACACCTTACTCCCTACCACATACTCTTTGATCCAGCGACACTGGTCTCTTAATTATTTCCCAGACAAGTCACTCCATCTCTCAGCTTTGGGCATTTTCTCTGGCTACCTTCCATAGCTAGAACACTTTCTCTCCTTTGCTCTGACTATTGACCTCCCTGGCTTCTTTTAAGTCCCAGCTACAACCCCACATTCTACAGGAATCCTTCCCTAACCTCTATACATACTAGTGCTTTCCCTCCTTTAATTATTTCCTATTTGTCTTGTGTATAGCTTGCTTTGTATATAGCTGTTTGCATATTGTCTCTCCTGCTAGATTGTCAGTTCCTTGAGGGCAAGGCAGGTGTTTTGCCTCTCTTTATATCTCCAGTGTTCAGCACAGTGGCTGGCACTTTTTGTTATTCTTGTTGTTCAATCTTTTCAGACTCTTCCAGAGTCCATTTGGGGTTTTCTTGGCAAAGATACTGGAGTAGTTTGCTATTTCCTTTTCTGGCTCATTTTATTTATTTAATTATTCATTTATTCATTCATTCATGTATTTATTTATTTGCTTGTGTATTTATTACTTCATTCATTCATCTATTTATTCATTTATTGTTTGTTTGTTTGTTCCTTTGCTTGCTTGCTTGTTTTTAGGCAATCGGGATTAAATGACTTGCCCAGGGTCACATAGCTAAGTATCTGAGGCCAGATTTGAACTCATGGAGATGAATCTTCCTGATTCCAAGCCCACTGCTCTATTCACTGGGACACCTAGCTGCCCCAACTGGCAATTAATAAATGTTTATTGATTGATTGACCGAGATGTTTCTCTGTAGTTAATCTCATCAGAGCATCAAAGCATCTTGGGACTGGAGGTCTTCAGGACAGCAGAGGTCTCTTTCAAGATAGAATCAGTTGGCTTATCCACAGTGTTGAATAAAATACCTACTAAGAGTCTATTCACACAATCTTGTTGCTCCCTTTCTTTGACTTCTAAGGTTACTTTTTCTAGGGAGAAGATGATTCTCTAAGACTCACAGCACACAGATTTTATCCACAATGGAATGTAAGGAGCATGGCTCCTGAAAACCTAGGTTCAAGTCTTGATCGTTTCTCTCTATGTCCTCTGTTTCTTCCTCTGTTAATTTTTTTTAAAAAAGAGAGTTAAACTGGATTATCTCTGAGATCTCTGCTAGCTCTGAATCCATTGATTTTTATGAATTTAATTATCATCTTGATGTAGGGCCCGCCTTGGCCAGAATAAGATTCAAGCAGTGGAGCTGTTTCCCACCCAGATTTTCATAGCCACTCTCCTTCCCCAACCTTTTTAGGGGAATGGTCAGACATGATCCTTTAAGTTTTTTGTACTACAAACTTAATGAATATTAACAAACATGAATATTCTAATAGCCAAAGAAAAACAGAAATAGGGTATCTTATATCCAACAGTTTGTTTTCAAAGGAGGGTGAACCATCTCTTGGGGAATGGTTTATCATACCGTGATATATGGATGTAATGGAATATTATTGTATCATAAACAATGATGAATGTGAGGTATTCAGAGAAACATGGTAAGATATTTATGAACCAGTGGAGAATGAAGCAAACAGAATCAAGAGAATAAGACATGAAATCTCCCCAACAGTGTAAAGGAAAATACTAAATGACACCCCAATACAGATCAAGGTGACAATCAACTTTGACTCCAGAGGCATTATGATGAAAGATGTGTTCTTCTTCTTGGTAGAGAGATGGTAGACCACAGACTCAGAATGGAGCATATGTGGTCAGGCATGGTCAGTGTGACAATTCGGTTTGCTTAATTCTCCTCCTTTGTTACAAAGGAGGGTTTGGCTTTGGGCTGGTTATTGGGAAATGCTATATGTTTTTAAAAGCACACAAAAAATTGATAAAACTTTTTTTTTAAAGAAAAAAATGGGTTGGGAGTTTGGGAGCAACTGGACCCTTGCTAAAAATTTCCATACCCTCCAGGAGTTAAGCTTACCTCCAAGCCTTTTGCCCTCCACAGGCTTTACAAGCCTCAATACCTCACTTCACCTACAACGCCCACCCAGCATTTTGTTAGGCAAACATTTGCCAGATCCAATATAATAAGCACCCTTTCTATCTCAGCCCACTTCCCTGGCTCCAGAAACCAAGGACTGCGGGGCTCAGTCCGGGTGTTCTGAGGAATTCAGACCCTGGGGGCTGGGATTAAGCCTGGGCCAGCCTGGTTTCCTGCTGCCCCTCGGCTTGCTTTAATGCAGACAGCACAATGACGGGGGCCAAGAACTCTCTCTCTCTCCAGACGTCTCACTCTCTTCCTCCGAGGTCTCAGTGCCCTTACAATATGCTGTCTGTTCGTCTGGTCCAATTTTACACAAAGCCGGTATCTTTATTTAGTGGGCAGACTCTACTCTATTGATTGATGCTGTCAGCAGGGAGAACAAGTCAGGGAGTAATTCTGTAACTGCATGTACAAAAAGTCTAATCTCCCCTGCTTTCCCCCCTTCTTTTTCCTTCTCTTTCACCCCACTTTTTCCTAGTTCCTTTAAAAAAATTCTAGCAGATCCCCACCCCCATCCCTTTAGCCCAACATCCCTGCCCCCACAGACAACCGGCCAAACCCTTCTCAGTTCAGTCCTGCTCCAATTGTCAGCTCTGAGCTTTTGGGTCCCTGGGAATGGAAACGGTGTGTGGTGCTTGGTTCACATATTAAATCAGCCTGGCTCTGTTGAAGGACACAGTTATCAACTCCAACTCCAGAGAGAACAGTGACACCATTTGTCTGGTGTTTTACAGTGTGGCAGGGAACAGGAAGGAGAGATATGAAGAAAGAAAGCTGATAGCCAAGACTACCAGAGGCCCCTCCTGTCCTGGGCTGATGAGGTGATGGGGCAGGGACGTCTTCTTTATTCTTTGGGCCACCTTCTCCACCCCTTCATTCCAGCCCCTATCCTCATCCTCTCCCACTGAAACCTTGGACTCAGACCCTTGGATGCCTGGGTCTGATAGGTTTGCTTTCATCTTTTCTTGCCTAGAACGGGACCTCCATTGTGACTTTCTGGTCAGCTTCAAACCATGTAGCTGTACTTGCTTGTATCTGTATCCTCAAGCACTTACCACAGTGTCTGGCACATAATAAATAAATACTTAACAAATTCTACGTCTCCACCTCTCTCCTCTTCTCTCTTCCTCTCCTTTCCTGTCTCTCTTTCCCTCTCTCTTCCTTTCCCTCTCTCTCTTTCCCTCTTCCTCTCTCTTTCTCTTTCTTGCTCTCTTTCTTCCTCTCCTTTCCTCTCTGTCTCTGTCCCTGTCTCTGTCTGTATCTATCTGTCTGGGTCCCTTTAACAAAGCTACCTTGAACTACAACCCATCAGCAAAAAAATGTTTAATGGGGTAGAAATTATAAAAGCTTTACAAACAAACAATGCCCAAGATGTGTGTGTATGTATGTATGTCTGTCTGTGGCACTAGAAATTTTTCCTGTAGGATCACAGAACCAGAGGATACCAGAGCTGGAAGGGACGTTGGAACACAATAATATAGGATGTTAAAGCTAGACTGAGACCTTAGCGATCAGCTGGCCCAGCCCCCTCTTTCGCTTGTTGCCACGGCTTCCTTCTCAAGGGTATGGCTTCTCTGAGCTTGGGCCTGTGACTGCAACCTTTTCAGTGGCATAATAAAATAATGAAAAGATCAGTTCAAGTCAAGGCAGTTTAAGAAACATTTATTAGGCACTTGTTATATGCCAGGCACTGTGCTAAGTGATGGGGATGCAAAGAATGGCAAGAAGAGAGCCCCTGCCCTCAAGGGAGTCAACATGTACATAAAGCTATATGAAGCAGAGCAGAGGCAGTCTGAGAGGAGAAGGCATTGATGGAAGGGAACCAGAAAAAGTCACTTAGACTGGAGGTTTTGATCTGAGTCTTGGAAGGAATTCAGGAACACTGAGAGGTGGAGGTGAGGAGTCTGAGCATTCCAGGTGTGGGGACCAGTTGGTACAAAGGCACGAATGGAGGTGCGAGATGTTTGAGAAACCACAAGAAGTAGGTCACTGTTGCTGGAACATTCACTGCAGAGAGAAGGGGAACATGTAAAAAAGACTAGAAAGGTAGGATGGGGTTTTAAACCCCAAACAAATATGTTTATATTTGATTTCAGAGGTAACAGGGAGCCACAGGAATTCACTGAAATGAGGAGAGGGCCATGATGTGTGACACAGTCAGACCCTGCGCCTTAGAAAAATCACCTTGGCATCTTCATGGAAGATGGATTGGAGTGGGGAGAGACTGATTGGAGAGACAATAGTCCTAGTGAAGGGTAATACTGGTCACAATTGGGGTGATTGGCTGGGGTTGGTTACCAACTAGTCCTATGACTTTGGGCAAGCGCCTTTCCCTCTCTGGGCTTCAGTTTCTCCATCTATATAATGGGGAGGTTAGATTAAATAATCTTTAAAGTCCCTTCCAGCCCAACATTTTGAATAATAATGAGTTAGAATTTACATAGTGCTTTACAGTTTGCAAACTGCTTTCATATGTTAACTCATTTGATTCTCCCAACAACACTGAGGTAGGTGCTATTATTATCTTCCTCTTACCTATGGAGAAACTGAAGCCCAGAGAGGTTAACTGACTTGCCCATGGGCACATAGCTAGTAAGCTTTGGAGGCAGGATTTACACTCAGGTCTTGAGTCCCACATTCCATCCACTTCACCATCTAATTGCCCTGTTATTCTGCCTCCATTAATCAGTCTATTCAAAGGGTACAATATTGGTAGAAGACGAATGAGTCTAATCTATAACCAAACTACTCTCATTAAATTGGGGCAGGGGGAGCCCTATATGCTGCAAACACAGTAATTCTTGCCAAATCACTCTCTAGTTTCCATTCACTAGTTGGGAACTCAGAGACTAAAATTTGCATACTAATGTCTGGAATTGACACTGTTCTTCAGGATTCTCCAAGTGAATGAGTCATTCAAGAGATGTCGTAGACCTGAGTATTTTTCTTTCCTGTTTCTGCGCATGCATGATATTTTGTATAGGAAATCCACAAGCCAGAGAATAAGGGACAATTCAGGTTCTGTTAGATACAAAGGAGACAGGCTGGAACCTGCACACAAGCAGAGAGAGCTGGAAATGGGTCAAAAGAAATGGCCACCTGCCAAGCTTCTAGGTTAAGTTCCAGGAACTAGGGGACTAGGCCAGGAATCAGAGAAACCCGTGTTTGAATCCTGTCTCTGATCCTTACTAGCTGTGTAGCTCGTCTCTGAGCTTCCATTTCCTCATCTGTAAAATGAGAACAGAATACTTGCAGTAGCTACCTTGCAAGGTTACTGTGAAGTTAAAATAATGCATGTGAAGGGGAAATGACAGGGCTTAGCTGGCACAATGGATAAAGCCCTTAAGGAGCTTATATTCTATAGGGAGAGATATATGTATATGGAGCTACAAAAAATAAATCCAAAGCATTTGTGTGGGGGCATTAACTGCTAGGAAGGAGATCAGGAAGCTAGTACTTGAACTGTGTCTTCATTTATTTATTTATTTTAACAAAAAAATTTTTTGGTTTGCTTTTAAAATTTTTTTTAATTATGTCTTGAAGAAAACTAGGCATTCTAAGATTTGGAAGTAAGGATGGAGTGAATTCCAGGCATGAGAAATGGTCAGAGAATAAGTATCAGATCTGCTCTGCCCCGACGGCAGAACCTGGAACAACGGGTAGAAGTTACAGGGAGGCAAGGAGCTTGACTCAATTATTATTGTTATGTTTTTAGTGAGGCAATTGGGGTTAAGTGACTTGCCCAGAGTCACACAGCTAGTAAGTGTTAAGTATCTGAGGCCGGATTGGAACTCAGGTCCCCCTGACTCCAGAGCCAGTGCTCTATCCACTGTGACACCTAGCTGCTCTAGGAGCTTGACTTCAGAAAGAAAACTTTCTCACAAATTAGAGCTTTCCAAAAGCAGAAACAGCTGCCTTGGGAGACTGTAAATAAGCTCTTTATTAGAGGACTTCCAGGCGTGGTTTGGCTGTGTAGCAGGAGAGACATCTACTTCAGGTCCGACTAGAGGACCGCTAAGGTCACTCCCAACTCTGAAATGCTATGAGTTTAACAACAACAACAACAATAATATTTGTTATATTAAATTATTACACAGTCTATTATATTATAGCTAGTACTCTAAGATTTGTAAAGCAATTTACAAACATTATCTTATTCGATCCTCACAAGAAACTCAGGAGGTAGGTGCTGTTATCATTACAGGGATTGTATCAGGCCTTCTTGACCACAGGCCTAGTGCTCTATCCACTGTGCCACCTTGGTCCAGTCTTTATACTTTCACATATATTAACTAGCATCCTCTAATCACAGATTCTGTGATTCAGTTAGGCCATGGACTCTGTCTTACGCTTACTTCTCTGTATCCCATAGCACAATGCTGGGCTTATAGTAGATACTCAACACATGTTTATTGATTGAATGGGACCACTTATAAATTTTGCTTGGAGTGGAGTCAGAGGACCGGGTTCAAGTCTTGACTCTGCCTCGTATTAACTATGTGACCTTGGCCAAGTCATTTACCCTCTCTGGGTGTCAGTTTCCTCATCTATAAAATGAAGGGGTTGAATTAGATTTCCCCCAACAATGCTTCCAGCTTTAAATCTATAATCCTACAAACTGTCCTTTGGGGAAACAATTTCTATATTCCAATTGAGCGCCATCTTTGTTCCATCTGGCTTGAGGAAGCATTCACAGTTTCATGACCTTTGACTTGCAATCCTCTCTCTCCTTTACTCATCATCAATACTGAGCTGACACCAAGACAGGGAGTATGTTTTCTAAGGGAGTCTGAGGCTCATAGAAAGCTGCCTTTCATCACCAGGATGCAAACGACTCCTTTTAACCTTTCTCCTTTTCAATTGGGTATATATCTTCCAGAAAATGTCACTGACATCCAATAAAAGGAAATGATTACAGGATCCATTCAGGAAGAGGCTACAACATAGGCCAGTTAGCATTTGGAGATGATTAAATAGTGAGTTTGAGGGAGCTCCCATTCATAACAGAGGACATTTTTTTTTGTATACCCTTGCTCAATATGCTGCCCTTTCTAAACCAGAGGTCAAGATAGCTCGTACTACCAGTAGGTTGAAATAAAATAATCCCAATTGAAGACAAAACAAAAGAATAATAAGGAAGTGGAACAGGGTCCATAAAACATTTCATTGGTTTCTTATCAGCTGGAAAGGCCCATAAATATCCAACTCACTCACTACAGACATGAATGATCATAAGGGTTTCGAGACAGACACTGTCACGAGTCTTCCTATCCACCAGCCTCTTTGTGAACTCTTCAACCCCTCCAGAGCTCCTCTCGGGACAAATGGAGGCCATCAGCATAACATTTTTGTCCTAGGAGAAAAATGGAGCATTCTTCAAATTTAAGGAAAAAGCTGGTGTTTCTCAAAAATGTGTATTGACAGAGAGAAAGAGTTTGCAAGGCATTACCATCTGTTCTTTTGGTTTGCTCTATTTTTCAGACTTCTTGTGGACCAAGACGATCAGATTAAATAGGAAGATGGTGACTTCTTTTGGTGGTCTGGGTTTATTGCCCTCCTCCTCAAATATTTGGTCAGTATCAAGTTGGTGCTCAGTTAGAAGTATTCCCTCAAGGCTAAATGATGTAGCTCCGAGGAGTTGGGGAAAACAAAAGCAAACAAGGCAGAGATTGACTTAAATAGTTCCCTTTTTTTTTCTCTCCAGCTTGAAGATTCCCCTTGGTTCAGCAAGTTGGTGTCTCTGGTAGGATCCATAACTCTGGAGCATTTGGTCTTATTCCATAGTACTTTTCTGCACACATTCTCCATTCCAGTCAAACCAGCTTGCAAGATGTTCTCTGAACACATCACTTCCATCTTCTGCCCCTGGGTCTTTGCAGGATTCTTCCCCATTCATGGAATGCACTCCTTTCTCGTCTCTGCCTTATAGAATCAGGTGCTATCTCTTATGAGTAGCTTTTTCTAACTCTTTCCCCACCCCTTCTTCCCTATTACTACTTGCACCCTCTTGAAATTATCGTAAACTTTGTATTTATGTACTTGTATACATGTTATATCCCATCCCCACCACCCAACCTTCCTCACCCTCCAGAAAATAAGGTCCTTGAAGACAGGGTCTGTTTCATTTTTTGGTTTTTTGCCTCCTCCTCCTCAAGCCCCATCAAGTAGGATAGTGGCCTGCAGAGAGGAAGCACTTAAGAAATGTTTGTTGAATTGATAATGTAATAACTTGCTCTGGGCTGCCCACCTGTGTATTGTCTGCTCATCGATTTGAGCAATCCAGGACCAGGCGCTTCTTGAATGCTTCAAGGATCAGTGATTTCATCTGTGTGTGCGTCATGCAACTGTCCCAGCCGCACACACCCTGTGCCCTGGGTCACTGTGTACCCAAACCAGACTAGGAGGAGCTCAGCTCCACGATTTACATAAGTGATGCCGACCAGATTAACAGCCTCTCAACCCCTGGTCTTTCCTGCTGTTATAATGGTTGAGGGAGACAGGGCAGAAGGCCCCAGGTCACTTTCACAGCCAGGGCTCAAGATCACCGTGCACTAGGACTTACCATTAATTTCTCTCTCCTCTGCCTTGAATACTTTCTTAACCCATTCATTTTGACTTTCTTTTTTCCAAGCTCCCTGTTATAGTGTAGAAGAATTTCTGCAGGATTTTTTTTTCTGATCTAGTCTTTTTCTGTCTAACCAGGTATTCTCCAACTGTGTTCCCTCCTCCTGCCTGATTCCCCTTTCTCCCGTACTGCTTCTTTTCTTTTTCTTTTTTTTTAAACAGCCTCTCTTGCCTCCCCTGCCCTCTTTTCACCAACCCCATTTCTGGATCTTTAATTTCTGGAGGTCTCAGGATTCATAGGCTCATGTTTTTGAGCTAGGAAGGACTTTAGAAGTCATTAAATCCAACTCCCTCATTTGACAGATGAGGCCCAGAATGGTGAATGGATTTGCCCAAGGTCACATAGGTAATAAGTGTCTACAATGAGATTTGAACCCAGGTCTTCCTAACTCCAAGTTCAGCACTCTATCCACAGCATCCCAGTGCTGTTGGGTGACTCCCTGCTCTGTTCTAAACCGGTTAGATTCACTTGAGAGAAATCCTTCTCTATAAAACATTGGAGGATATCTGATTCAGGAGCCCCCATGACCTCTGAGCTGAGCAAGCTACTCTAACCCAGGAACCTCCCTGATACATGGACCCAGGAGGCCCACTGAAGGGTTAGTACAGATGTAGGCCTAGTCCTGGGAGCAGATCCTCCTCGGACCATCGGGAAGTCTTCCTGCTATGACATGAAGACCATCACACTAGGGCATGGCTGGCTGTATCTCTTCCCTTCATCTTTCCAGCTCTACTTTGGAGGTGTCCATCACAGATCTAATGGGCATCAGTTGGCAGGCTACCTAAGTTTTGGCTCTGTTGTCAAAGGAGGGTGTCAGTGGGCTACCCTAATACCCTTTCTTTGTTGTCATAGAATTATAGGTTTAGGGATGGGAAGGACCTTTGAGATCATTAAGTCTAATCTCTCATTTTATAGATGAGAAAACTGAAATCCAAAGAGGATAAATGATTTGCCTAGGGTCACAGTTGCCATTTGAACTCAGGTCGTCTGACTTTAAATGCATTGCCTTTTTTTTTTTCTTCTTAGCCATGTCATGCTGCTTCCCTGACACGGATTCCCTTGGGCATTTCCTGTGAAACCTCATGACTTTCTCTTCTGGGCTTTGCCTTAAACACCCCAAATAAAAGGGCCTATTGCTTCCAGCATTAACTGGCTGGCCTTACTGTGCTGCAAAGCTCCTGACTCTCCCAAAGTCAAATCTCTCCCTGAAGGACATGTGGACTCATGCCTCCTGCAGAGCCACTGAGTCACTGCTCCTTTCCCTTCTCCACCTCTACTTCACTAAATTCTGTGCACTTGAGGCAAACATGAGCTGTTGGGAGCTATACTTCCTGAACCACACCCGGTCAGTTTCCATCCTCTGAAATAAACATCATCAGTCGGAACTCTTCCCAACACCCTCATCTAGGTCCAGGGAGCAGCTGTCAAGTTGCCCCAGGGGCACAGCAGCTCCTTGCTTTGTGAAATGGTCTCCTACAACTAGGACAGTGGGCATCCTTCCTCTACCTGCACAGATTCCAACTCCACTGTGCCTTGGACTGATTTTGAGGGTTTCTGTGGCTAAAAAATATATCACCCTGTGCCCAATTTGGTGATGAGTCTCCTTGAAAATAGCTAGGCTGTTCTTCAGAGGACAGACTAGGTGGGGTTATCCCTGGGTAGAAGCCTTTATAATTTGCCAGAGCTTGTGTTCTCCTGGCAGGGCCTTTACTTTTTAAAAAAGTTATTTATCTATCTATCTATCTATCTATCTATCTATCTATCTATCTATCTATCTATTTATTTATTTATTTATTAGCATTTTGAGTTCTAAATTCTCTCCCTCCCACCCACCCCTCCCCCACCCACTGAGAAGGCAAGCAAAATGTAGTCAATTACACACATGAAATTATGTAAAAACATTGCTATATTAGTCATATTACATAAAATAAAAATAAAGTGAGAAAATTGTACTCTATTTACAATCAGAGTTCATCCATTCTCTCTCTGGAGATGGATAGCATTTTTTCATCATGAGTCCTTTGGAATTGTCTTGGATCATTGTATTGATTAGAATAGCCAAGTCTTTCACAGTTGAGCATTATCATAACATCGCTGTTATTGTGTATGCTGATCTCCTGGTTCTGTTCACTTCACTTTGCATCAGTTCATATAGATCTTACCATGTTTTTTCTCAATCCCCCATCATTTCTTTTAGCATAGTAGTGCTCCATCACAATCACATGCCACTACTTGTTCAGTCATTCCCCAATTGATGAGCATCCCCTCAATTTCTAACTCTTTGCCACCACAAAAAGAGTTGCTATAAATATTTTGTACATATAGCAGCTCCTTTTCCTTTGATCTCTTTGGAGTACAGACTTAGTACTGGTATCGCTGGGTCAAAGGGTATGCACAGTTTATAACTCTTTGGGCATAGTTCCAAATTGTTTTCCAGAATGGTTGGACCAATTCATAACTCCACCAATAGTTTATTAGTTTATCAATTTTCCTTCATCACTTCCAGAATTTGTCATTTCTTATAGGTATGAGATGGTGCCTCAGAGCTGTTTTAATATGCCTTTCTCTAATCAATAGTAATTTAGAGAGTTTTATTTATATGACTATAAACAGCTTTGATTTCTTCTTTCAAAAACTGCCTGTTCATATCCTTTGACCATTTATCAGTTGGGGAATGGCTCTTATTTTTTATAAATTTGACTCAGTTCCCTATATATTTGAGAAATGAAGCCTTTATCAGAGAAACCTGCTATAAAATTTTTGATATTACTTCATTGTCTATGATACCTTTTAGCAAAATGTAGTTTCCCTGATTAATTCTTTTAATTAGGCCTATTTTCGCTTTTGCTTCGTCTGAGATTATGATTGCACCTCCAGGCAGAATCTTTATGAAAGCAGTATCACCTCCACATCATAATGAAGTATCAGGAGGACTTCAGTGGAGAAAGGTGATTCACTTAGTAGGCTTCTTTTATGTCTATCCATGTGTGTTTGACAGTATGGACCTTGATCCTTCTGTTATCTTTTAATTTGGAAAGCTCTAAATTAAAGGCAGGTGTCAGGGCTTGCTGGGCTTTAATTTGAACCAGCTGGGCAGAGACTGCACTCTTCAGGCCTTGGACACATCTATCTGACTTTGAACGGGCCATAATTTCTCAATCTTCCCCCTTGCTCCCTCTTTCCTGTGCATCTGGAATTCATTCCTCAGAGCCTGATGCAGTGAGAAGAGCATTGAACTTGGAGTCAGAACCCAGAGGACCTGGGTTTAAACTTTGACCTTTGCTACCTCTTACCTGTGTGACCTTGGAAGGACCTTCCCTTCAGCATGCGTCAGTTTCCTCAATATGTAAAATAATCAGTTGGTTTAGATCAGAGGTTCTTAAACTAGGGTCCATGATTTAGAAAAAAAATGGCATTTCAATATATTTGATTTCCTACGTAGTCCTATGTATTTTATTTTATACATTTAAAAATATTTTTGAGAGGGGATCCATAGACTTCACCCTAATGGCCAAGGGGGATCCCTCATGACACAAAAAAGGACTGGTTCAGATGATCTCCACCTCTATGATCCTATAATATCTATGATTCTATAATATTCTGGCCCTGTCCTCCTTAGCATACCAACTGATTTGAGGTTTTAGGAAAATCTGAAGCACTTTCAAGGGGAGAGCACAGTGAGACTCTTGGAAGAGGATGTGTCAGAACGTGAGAATTCACTGGGTCTT